AGGGGAAATGTAAACTTCCTCCAAAATATTCATTCTTATTACATTGGCCCATAAATTCACCCAAAATTGGATTGGATAGAATTTTGCCCCCTTAAACTTAAAAAGTGTAAGCATTTCAATATAAATTCATGTTAATTTTGTTATTGAAAAACTTTAAAGTTCCAAATGCTTCAAATAAAAGTATAGCCTCACTGAAAAATTCCACATTAAACGAAAAGAATCTAAAAAACTTCAGAATGCAACAGCATTGCCAACTTACCAACAAAATATCCCCATACAGTTCCTTTGGACAAGCTTTTTACCAGTCATAGTTCAATTTTATCCACCACCAATCTTGTCTCTACCTAATCGTCCCCTGTAAAATAATCAAAAACATCACCATAATACCAAAAGGATAAACTCCTTAAACAAGCGTCTATGAAAAGTATTAAATCGCAAGTATAAACTAGAAGGCAATGACACAGTTTCTAGTTAAACGGAATGGAAAACTAAGAAGCCCATTTTGGCAAGCGGTAACTGTGCTGGTTCTAATTGATAACTGTTGCATACATTTTTTACTAAAACTGTCATGTCAAGATATAGTTCCAGTCAGGTGCTTCAAAGCAATGACATGTATAAGGATCGACTACTCACTAATGCAATCAAAGTGTCAAGGCAAATTCAAAACCTTAACAGCTTCACCATTTGATTTGTAGCAGTGAGATGAGATCTAAGCATTATGGCATAACAATTTAAGTCTACCACCCAAATATAGTCCCAAAAGCAAATCTTATACAATATATTTGCTGTTTAAGGCTTCAGTCCAAAATATTGTGAAAAAAAAAAAAAAGCAAAGCAAAGCATACAACTTGCTTGATGAATAGTATAACAGTTAATGCATATAAAACTAGTGCATTTCTAACATATCCATAAAACATTCGCCATGTAATATAATATTTGGCACTGAATGCTTAATGGTTAAAAATGAGGATGCTTCTGATTTTCTGACCAAAGAAAATGAATCCTTCCACCTCCTCCTCCAACACCCCGTTTGAGACTACCATATCCTCCAACACTTGAAAGAATAGTAAATTTGCCAAGAATCAATGTGTGCAGAAACAGAAGTACAGTACTGCCAGAGCCACCCCAGGAGCTACGCTTGAACCATTAGAAACAGAATACTCTTGCTGCCAGACAGTTTCTTCAAAACCTTCTCCATCAGCCCTCACAGCACCCTCATCAGACAAACTTGATAATGTAGGCTCCATGGTACCCATCGCTTTTCAGATATAACATCTCATGAAAATTTAAGGAACAAACTTAAATAAAGCAGTAACTATTCACTAAGACTATATTTGGTAGGGAGGACAGAAAGGGGAAAGAATGGAAAATATTTTCATCCAATGGTTGAGATTCATAACATGTAATATTTTGTAGCTCAACCATTAGATTAAACCTTTTTCCTTCCTTCCCCCTTTCCATCCTTCCTACAAAATGGAGTGTAGGAGTCTAAGATGATAAAACAACTCAAACATGGCTCCATGGCCCCCTTTTTTCACATATAAAGGAATTAAACCTTTTTCAACATTTCGTAATGTAAATTATAAGCTAAAATAAGCATGATACTCCAATCCCGGGACAAGATGAAAGAGGTGATATTTCAGTAATCGCAAATCAACCAACCAGTCGCACTAAAATTCTAGCTGCCCAGCATGATCAATAAAATTTCACCTAGTCACATAACCATTTCGGAGAAAACAGACACCAGTGGCACTCAATCAATCCTTGTCTTGGTTATCACAATCTTCAGAAATTAAAAAGAGCCAAAAATATATGCCATGAAAAAAAAAAAAGACCCAAAAGCCTTAATTATAACACCACCACCTGCAGTTAGGTCAGCTGAGCTTCCACTTCCACTACCAAGTTCACAGGGCAACTGTGAATTCCCATATGAAACATCACCCTCAACAAAACTACCATATAACATCCAAGGCCCCCTCTAACACTATGGCCACCAGCAATTCCAATACCATTGTCTAAAAAATTCCCTCTACCTACACCACCAATGCGTCCTGTAGAAGAAAAAAAGTAATCCATAGCAGCGATTCAAAAAACGGGTTGATAGCGGAATAGCGGCCGCAAAATTGCGGTAGCGCTGCCTTCCGCCACCGTTAATATATAGAAAACGATTGAAAAATTCATTCCCATCAAAAACGGAGAGTAACGGCCGCAAAATAACGGCGTAACAGACAATAGCGGCAATAACGAACCGTTATTGTCGTTATTCCGTTTTTCACTCACGGATCTAATAGTTTTAACAAAAAAACAAAATTTTACACCTGCAAAATAAAACAACAAACCTGCAAAAGTAAAAGTAAAAGCCAAATCAAAAAATAAAGCTCACAATCTCAGATCTTTATAATAAAAAAAAATTGTAAAACGAGTTAGAAAACAGAGTTTCAAGTTTCAACCATTCAAACGACATTTTCGGCATTCAAATTCAAATCAACCTCAAGTTTTCGATCAACATTCAAGAATCAAGATCAAACAAGGTAAGAAAAGAAAGTTAAATTACCTTTTTTTTTGTAAAATTTCTGTAAAATGATCGATCTGTTGTGTCTTGTGAGAGTTTGAAAGATGAACGAGATCTGTAGATACTAGGTAAGTCAGCAAGTGATAGTGATAAAGGGATGTGAGAGAAAATGAGAGACGAAAAAAAAAAAAATTTTTTTCTGGAAAGCCAGAGAAAGTAAAATATAAGACGACAAAGATGATGAACAGTAAAATGAAATGTTTCTAGAATGGTCTCGGCTCGGGTTGTTAGAAAGAGTTAAACAATTTGATATATTTAGGCACGTGGAGAGATTGGAGGGGGTGGGGCGTTGGGGGGAAGGTGGGGAGGGATTGGGTGTGGATTGGGTGTGGTAGGGTGTTGGGAGGAAGGTGGGGAGGGATTGGGTGTGGTGGGATGTTGGGGGGGAAGGTGGAGAGGGATTGATGGGGGTGGGGAGGGATTGAGTGTGGTAGGGTGTATGGAGGGTGGGATTAAATTTTTTTATTTAATTTTATAATTAATTTTTGAAAATTTTTTAGATAAAATTTAATTAGTGGTTTTGAAAATTTATAATTAATATAATATATAGATATTTTAAATGAAAATTTTGATAAAATTTTTTGTATAAGTTAGATGAAAAATAATTAAAATTAAATATTATATTTTGATTGTGTTATATATTAATTTATAATTTTGTATATGAATTTTAATTTTTTTTGTTGTTTTGATATTTATATTATTGTCAATTCTTTTGATATTATATTAATTCTTGTTATTTTTGTGTAATTATTAAAAATTGTGTTTATTATATAATTATTAAAAGTTGTTTGTGATAAAAAAAATTTTATATCAATTATTGTATCAAAAAAATTAAGTTACTTAACAAATTTAGCATTTTATGATCTATTACTCTTATTGAGATTAAAAACTAAAAAGTAAAAAATATAGGTTTGAAAATTTTATTAAAATATAAGTTTGAAAACTTTTAATTTTCGAAATTTTTTTTAGATAAAATCTAATCAGAGGGATTGAAGATTTATAATTAAAAAAAATAAAAGATTAATAATTTAATATGATATACATAGAGATTGTAGATGAAAATTATTGATAAATTTTTTATATAAGTTAGACAAAAATTAATTAAAATTAAATATTATATTTTGATTGTGTTAGATATTAATTTATAATTTTGTATATGAAATTTAATAATTTTTTTTGTTGTTTTGATATTTATATTGTTGTCAATTATTTTGATATTAGATTAATTCTTATTATTTTTATGTAATTATTGAAGATTGTATTTATTATATAATTATTTGAAGTTATTTGTGATAAAAAATTAATATCAATTAGTGCATCTAAAAGATTAAGTTATTTAATAATATTCTTAAGATTAAAAACTAAAAATTAAAAAATTTAGTGTAAAATCAATTTTTAATGATGTAATAAGTAATATTAATATTTTTAAATATAAGTTTATTTTGTTTTTATACAAAATAGTAAGTATGCCACCACGTGAAGAGTTCCCGAATAAAGGAGTAGAAGACGCCCCAAGTGATGATATAGGTTGGCATTTTGGAACACCTGTGCCAAATACAAGAGGAAATGTTTCGTGTAAACTTTGTGGTAAAGTTGTAAAAGGAAGAATAACACGTTTCAAAGAACGCATTGCTCATAAAACTGGCAATGTTGCACCATGCCCCAACGTTACTGGTATGTTATGTTTTTTTAATTTCTTTGAAAATATTATTGTTAATTTCTTAATAAAAATTATAAAATTATATAAGCATGTGCAACTAATTTTTTTTTTTTTTTTTAAACTATATTATTAATAGGTATAGTAAGAGAAAGTATGATGAAACTCCTTCAAGAAAGCAAATCAAAAAAGGCTGACAACAAAAGAAAAAAAAATGAATTTTTATCACAGTTAAGAGAGGAAGATGATTATGAAGGATTTATTGATGAAGACATTGCTACTAGACAAACCGTGCGAGATAGTATCCAATCACAACATGAGTGGCATAGAAGACAAGAATTCAGACAAAGAACTAGTGGTTGGAGTAACATATATGAAGAAGGACGAAGCTCTCATGGTTCAGTTGCTGAATATTTTGAAGAAAGAACAAGAACTCCAAATGAGTCTGAGTTTTCATTAAGGGGAGCTGTTCCTGAATTGGTTAGAAGTAAAAGTTCAAGACAACCAAAAGTAAGTGATTCATTTCTAAAGACATTAAGAAGAAAAATGGGTGAATCAGTATCAAAATTTTTGATATATGATCGACTTCCTTTTCAATTAGCAAATTTCCCATGGTTGCATAATTTGATTTCTGTGGCAGCAGAAGTTGGCCAACATGTAAGACTTCCAACACCTTATGAGGTCTCATATGTGTATTTAGAGTCTGAATATCAACAAGTTCATGAATGGGTTAATGGATTAAAAGCTTATTGGAATGAATTGGGTGTCACTTTGATGTGTGATGGTTGGACCAATAGTTTGAATCAAATGCATATCATTAATTTTCTTGTTTACTGTAGTAAAGGGACTATTTTTTGAAAATCTGTAGATGTCTCAAGTGTTCGTAGTAGAGATACAAACTTTTACTATAGATTATTAGATGAAGTTGTGAAAAAAATTGAAGAAAAATACATTGTTCAAATAGTCACTGATAACGAGACAGCACTTAAGGCCGCAGGAAAAAGACTAATGGAGAAGAGAAAACATTTGTATTGGACAGCATGTTCAGCTCATTGTTTGGACTTGTGCCTTGAAGATATTGAGAGGAAAAAAAATGTAGCAAAGGTTTTGGATGATGCAAAGAAAGTGACTTGTTTTATATACAATCACATTTGGACTGTTAATTTGATGAAAAAATATACACAAGGGAAGCAAATACTTCGTCCTGCTCTTACCCGATTTGCCACTCATTTCATACAATTAGAAGAAATAATAAGGCAAAAGCAAAGTTTGAGAGAGATGTTCAATTCAAAGGTTAGTACTTAGTAATTAGTACAATTATTTAAATCTAGCATCTTTTTATAATATTATTGTTTTAAAATATTAATTTAAAATATATTACTCTAAAAATTTATTGATGAATATATAGGAATTTAAAGATTCAAAATGGGGACAACAAAAATCAGAACCTGTTTATGAAGTCAAAAAAATCATTTTAGGAAAAGATTTTTGGAAAAAAGCAGGTGATATAATAAAAGTTTATGAACCTTTGGTAAAAGTGTTGCGCCTTGTGGTTGGTGATGAAAAACCAACAATGGGCTTTATTTACGAGGCTGTGGATAGAGCTAAACAAGCAATTCAACAAACTTGTCGTTATTCTGCTGAATATGAAAAGATTATTGACAATAGATGGAGTTTCATGCACTCTGACTTGCATTCAGCTGGTAAGTAAACCAAGAATATAGATGGTATTTAAAAAATATGTTTATTTTTTATACTTAAATTGCTTATATATTTATTTTTTATTACTTTAATATAATATTGTTATAAATTATGTTTAGGTTACTATCTAAATCCACAATTTCAATTTGGAGTGGAACATTCTGCAAATATATTTAAGGAAACATTAGAAGGTATAAAAGCAGTTATTGAAAGATTAGAACCTTCGATAGATACTCAAATCAGAATGATTAATCAGGTTAGTATTTAATACTATTTTTATAACTTTAATATTTGTTTTATGTATTAAAAATTAAATTATTTTTTATTTATTCATTTATTATTGTATTTTCAATCGATGTAATTATTATTTCGAGACAAGCATGAAACATTTGGTAGTCCACAAGCACAAAGAGCTTGGAAGCAAATGAATCCAGGTAAATAGTAAGTTAAATAATTATAATTTATTTATATTATTTAATTGTATAGCCCATTGAAATTTAATTTAAATAATTTTATACAGCTGAGTGGTGGATGATATATGACACTTGTGTTCCTGAATTACAAAAACTAGCAATCAAAGTGCTTAGTCAAACAACATCTGCATCAAATTGTGAACGTAATTGGAGCACATTTAGCTATATTCACACCAAAGCAAGAAACAGATTGAAGTTTGCAAGACTCCAGAAACTTGTATATATACCTATTATAACATGAGGTTGAGGATGAGACATAAAAAAAAGAATGAGTATTGATGAAATAAATAATAATTTTAATCCTATTAGCCTTGACCATATTTTTGAAGATGATGATCCACTAACAGAATGGCTGCAAGAGAAAGAAAATCCTCTATTAGATGGTCAAAACTCTGATTGGTTGCCTGCAAATAATTCTGATAATGAAATGATTGTTGAACGATCAGTCAATCTCAAGAAAGGAATGTATCTCATTCAAGTTCAAGTCCAACACCAAGTCAGAGTGATGATGGTGGTGGTTTAAGTCCAGATGATGATGGTGATTGGAGATGGTGATGGTGCAAATTTTGGTGATAATATGGATGCAAATCGACCTTACAGCCCATTTGGAGGAGAATTTGGGCTTGCTGCTACTGATGGACTTTTTATTAATATGACAGAATACGGAGGAAATCCATTTGCTGAATCTAGTGAGGGTCAAAGTGCACGTACAGCTCGATCAAAAGAAAAAGCAAAGAAGCACCACTATGAAATTTCTAGAGGTTCTTCATCTTCAGGTGAGAGACCAAATTCTAATAACTTTGAGTATAGTGAATCATCTGCTAGTACTCAAAGACATTATTATCCACCAGAACAACATAATTTTCAACCTCCTCATGGTTATCCACCTCCATATGGTTATTATCCACCTCAAATGTATCCTCCACCTCTTCAAATATATCCTCCACCTCAAATGTATCAGTTACCACAAATGTACCCTCCACCACAAATGTATCATCCTCAAATATATCCTCAACCTCAAATGTATCAAGAACAAAGATTTCAGGGATGGAGATGGAGTCAACTTGGCTCTCAAAGTGAAGATAGAGAATCTGATCCTCCTCGTCATTTTACCATGTGATAAATTTGAAATATGTATCAATAATTGTAGTTGATGAAATTTGAAATTATTATAATTTTAAGTTTATAATTTTATTAAATTAAATGCTTGGTATTTAACATATTATGTTTTGTTAACATTTGATTTGTTTAGAATTAATATTGAATATGAACTTGGCCAAGAAAAATTTTATGGATAAATCAAATATGAATGCTTTTTATAATCTAAATAAAATTGTGAATAATTTTTTTAGAAAATAAAAAACATAGTGTCATAAACTATTTTTAAAATCATTGAATAAGAGTTTTTATAATTATAATTATAATTATTACATTTTATAATAAATTGTGCAAAAAATAAAAAATTTCACGACCGTGATGACCGCAGTGACCGCAATTATCTCCGTTATATCCGAAAATGCGACAAATGTTACGCAACCGAAAACGTGACCGCGACCGCTATTTAAATCCCTGATCCATAGAGATAATTTTTAACAAGTTTCCAAGCTCAGTTGTCGTTTCTTTACCTTGCTTTAAGACAAATAAGAGGTGATAAAAGGTTTACAAGACCATATTTACAGTGGACTTGATTTGTGTGCATGCATCTGCAGGCGCATGCACACACACACACGTGTGTGTGTGTGTGTGTAGAGAGAGAGAGAGAGAGAGAGAGAGAGAGAAATTGCATAAAATAGAACCTAAAAGATAATGGAGAAAAATACCCATACCAGATGCACTGATTATTCAAAAAGACTGCATATATATCGGTCTTGCCCGATGGAAATGAACAACAGATCCCTTCATAAGACCTTCAACAGTGATGTCCTCAACTTGGCATATCTAAAAAGCAAACTAATGAAACAGTTAAATAAGCAGAAGCAAGCATATTTCTCAGTTTATTACTGCAAAGCTACATTGAATAAACATCTGGAGAGTAAAAGACAGACGAATTCAGGTGGATAAAATAGTTCAATGGGGCAAATCTTGGAGCTCACAATAAAGCTTTTGTGTACTGCCAAACGCAAAAAGAACAATGAGATATACAATAAGAAGGTAGAAACCTTCAATAGAAGGGTGATGCAACCAAAACCAAAACTTGCATAGCATTAGATGATGCATTCTCTAGGCGACCACGTAAAACACAAATATGTAGCAAAATTAGCAAAAAAAAAAAGAAAAGAGAAACTCTCTCAAGCTTGAGAAGTTGGACCCACATATCTAAACACAGAACGCCTCAAAACAACAGTGAAATCGTACAATTGTGCCCCTTTCTTTGGAGGAAAACCAGCTGAACTAACCATCTCTACATTACCACAACAAACTAAAACATAAGAAATCACAATAGCAGGAAAACCAAAAAAACAAAAGCCAAAAGTAGCTCAGTTCCTCAGATATAAACATCTACGGTGAACCAAAAAATTTATCAAACCAACATGGCAGCAACTTAACTATAACATCAATCGACAAGAGCTTACTCAGACACCTACACAGATTAGTAGAAATAAATAAAAATTCAAAAGTGGATTTTGGGTCAACATTCCAGACATTCACAAGACATTCTTACCCCAACTGCTTCCAAGTCTTCCAACCTTTAGTTATTTTCTTTAATTTGCAACTGATAACCTCAAGCAGTACCAAAAATAATGAAGAAACCTCATTATCAACACTACCATTTAAATATACAATTTTAAAATCAAGATGAACAACCAAATAAAACCATAACAAAAATTGTTAATATTAAAAATATGAGGTCCAAGAACCAGAAAAAAGAGGAGCAAAAGGTTGAAATAGAGGACCAAAGAATTCCAAAGATTAACCAAAACCCAAAATTCTGAAGGAAGAATTCCTACTGCATGTAAAGACACATATCAAGAAATAAGGAGAAAATTATTTAAAGTCAAACCAACTCCATTAAGTTCTGCAATCCCAAAACCTCTGACAAAAAAAAATACCGAATGTACATGAAAAACATAAATCCAAAATGTTAAAAGCGAGAATTCCTCATTAAATAAATGCAACTGTTGTCAACAATTGTACATCAAGAAATTTTAATAAAATTTCCAAAAGGTAAGCAGAAAACAGTCAAACCAACTCCATTAAATTTTGGGTTCCAAAAACCCTAACAACAAAAACAAAAAATAAAATAATGATATACTACAAGTTTTGGTAACCTTGCGACACCAGCAACTAAATAAAAGAAGGGTCCCAAGTCCCTATAATACTCAGCACCTAAAACATTTTAAAGAGATAATAAGATTCACAATCATCATACCAACGTCAACAGAAACACAAGATTTCCTTTCATTCCTAAAAGGATCGAAACACAAAATCTCATTCGATCATATCGTTATGATAGATCTAATAAGAAAACAGATTTGAAAGGTAACACGAACAATCATCCAAACAGACCAATATAATATAGGAAGAAAAGTAATAGACAAACTTGAAGAGAAATATTAGACAAGCCCGCGTTCTCCTACTTACTAAAGAAATCTGAAAAACGAATGCTAGTCAGGCTATGGATGCTTCAGCTATTTATTAGGTATATAAGGAATTAGTAGCCGTTAGAAAGTTTGACTAAGACCACCGAATATTTAGAGATTTAAGACACGTGGAGGATGACTATTGATTTTTTATGATTTGGTCAAATTAATTGTAATCTGAGTTTTGACCGAGTCTAAGGCTTGGAATAAAGCCCAATATTTATTTGGGGTTAAGTTTTTTTTTTTTTATTTAAAATGGCTTTTAATTTTAATTTTCTAATTTTTTGGAATAGATCCGCTGCTGCATGAGTTTCCAGAACAATAATCTACCAACTAAAATGAATATATATGTACAGCGAGCGCTGCATGACTGCATCAAGGAACTCGTTCTGCTGACCTATTTGAGAAAGTAGATTCAAAGGTGGTGTACCCATGCAAGGATCTCATTTTCTCCGTGCCTATATACTTGCCATTACATTCCAAAATTTCACCAGGCAACCTCAAAGCACGATCTTGAGTGAAATATTTCCCTTTTGCTATCAGTTGCTATAACCACTAAATAGTTGCCTCATTAAAAAAAACTTTTCATGAATAAAACCATGAACAACAGTTGAGCACAGGCCAAGCCCAAGTTCACAAGAAAATGACCCAAGCAGAGAGTAAGAGTATGACACTATTCAGTATGAGCAAAAGCGACGGCTACAACCTGTACCTGGGTTATGACATGAACAAAATGCAAGCTGAGTCAACGATCCAGAGCCCCGGCCTCCACACTCTGCAACATGCAGCTCAAGACATGGCGCAAGCCAAGCCCAAGCTGACAAGGAAGCTCATATTTGACACAGCATTTCTGTTTAGGTTTGGGCTGAATATAAATGAGCCCAATATTTGCCTCTAGACCTCAGCTCTTATCTTTTGCATCAATACATCTGGGCTCTTTTCTTCCGCTAGTGGCCCAAATTGATTAAAGCATATAATTGCGGAAATAGGATTTACTTGCCATTGGAAAACCCTAAGGCATAAGAAAAATGGGGAGCAGAGCTTTGCTGATGTTCAGCAACTTCAAGTTGAAGGGCAGCTTCTCTTTTGCTTCTTCACCTTCAAAACCCTTTTTTCTTATTAACAATAATCCCAAAATACGAGATTTTTCTACGAAAACGAGGTCGTCTTTGCAACCACCGGATGTGCCTCGCTTGGCTGAAACAGCTCGAATTTCACTCGCTACTAATGAGGTTTCTTTCACTATTTTCCTCCATTTTATCCACATATTCATTTCTTTGTTGTTCAATTGATATCTTCGACTCTTCGTTCTTTGGTTCCAGGTTGAAGAATTTGCTCCCAAAATCCGACAAGTGATAGACTGGTAATTTTCTCAGTAAGGACATTCAGAACCAAATTCAATTCAAATCAATTAATATTTGATAATGATTTGGAGATGTCTCAACAAAATGGGTGCTGATTTTTGGGTTTCAATTAGGGTTTTATCAGGTTATCCCATGGTTCTTATAAAGATAAAATCTGTCGAAATATTGTATACTTATAAGAATGAACTTTAATCAATGATTATAACAGCGATCATATTAGCCAGAGGATGTAATTCTCGTCACATTACAACTTGAAAATGGCAAAACGATAGCTAAATTCTCTGATTGGTTCTTGGGTTTTTATTGCAGGTTTGGGCAACTTCAAGCTGTTGATCTTGACAGCGTGGAGCCCGCTATTAGAGCAGGTACTTGGAACTCATTTATATAAAATTGGTGTTTCCTTTTTGTTAGTTGGTGGTGTAATTTCCCTGTACGTTTCTGATGTGTTCGTAGGGGAACGAAAATACGGTGTTGCATCGAAATTGAGCTAATGTAATTGAGGCGTTTACTTGATTGTCTATTTGAGTTGTCAAAGTTCAAAGTTTTGATATGCAGTACTCTTTATCAGGCCAAATTAACTAAATCGTGGTTCAGTATCAGACCCCAAACAGTGGTCTGGTATGTGCAACCAATGCCGAGTAACAGTTACATTTTGTAACTAGATTTTAGGCCCTAACAAGGTTTTTTGCCAACTCTATATTTTTTTTGCAGACTCTGAAGGTGATCAACTGCGTGAAGATGTCCCTGAAAGATTTGATAATAAGTGAGTGAAGATAGTTTGCTGCAATGTAGTTTTGAGTTCTGCATTTGCACTGGGTTATTTTCTGGTTGTTTTGACTTTGAATATGTTTCTAAACAGGGAAGCACTGATAGCGTCTGTTCCAAGCTATGAGGAGCCATATATCAAAGTTCCTAAAGTATTGAACAAGGAGTAACACTCTTTGGGTACCATATTGTTCTCCCTTTAGTTCCCAAAGAATTGTAACTATGAAATGACCATAGATTCTCATTTAAATTGGCTTTGTAGGGGCAGAATTTCCCCAGATAATATTCATGCACTGATATCTGTGTTTGTAATGTTTGTCAACGGACGGTACACAGAACATAGTGGGGCCATTCATGCTCATATAAAAAGTACGCATCTTAATTGTAAGGGGAAGATCGGCTAACATGAGGAAAGAAACTTTCTCTTGTCAAGTAACCTTCTCTTTTTGCAACCACTTGATGATGTATTGGAGTGTTCATGAAGCTCTCAATATGGGAGCATGCCTCCCTTGTTCTTTTATTTGTATAAAAACTATTGAAATCAGTCATTTTGGTAAAGGTTATTTGGTGGCATGTCTCCCTCAACAGTATCTGGTGAAACAAATGCTTGAAGCCTTGTTCATGTTTTCTTTCCTTAAAGATTGTTTTCAATAAGAAAAATAATATCGGGCGAGATTTCAACCTAAATAACCAATTTAAATCTTCAAAACGTATTAGCCAGTCAACTTCAAAAGTATGCTTCTCAATTATGTTAACTTGCAAGAACGACCGGTCCAATAAGAAGCTTCAAATGGTGGAACAATATCAACTTAGCTCGAAATGAATATGCAAATGAATTCTCTAAAGCATTTGGGTACCCCAATTCGTTATTTACATTGGAAGTCCCAAAAATTAAAAGGAAAATCCTGAGAACTTACAAGAATGAATGCCATTCTCATTTCTCTAATATTCTTCTTTAGATTTTTCCCCTTTGTTTCTATTTCTAACCGTGTCAAGAACTCACTTGTTACTCTCAAGTTACATACAAAAATAGAACAGTAAAAAACTGAAGAAAAGAACCTTGTTAACGTGTAAGTATTCTCTTTGAGATGATGGTCATGACTGCCAAAATAGCTCAAAATCATTGCTATATAGTGAGCGGTCTTGAATCTCTAGATTCGCAACATGCCAATTTATAAGTTGTGATTGGAAAAGTTTACACAAAACCAGTCCAGCTGGAAAAAGCCACCATTCACTTTCCTCCCTGCATCCAAAACCAAACCAATGAGACAGACACCCATGTCAAGCAAGAATGGTATAACACTTAAATTTCCTTTGCACCTAAAAACATCAACTTACATGTTAATATTCCATGGCTGAAGGTTTGGGATCCTTTTACTTGATGACAAATGACTGTTATAGTGAATATACCCACAAAGAAAGGAAACACCCTGGTGAAAGAAAGATGATATAATGATTACCATACAGATACTGATTCAAAACAAAACATCTTACTACTTTCTCGTACTTTAAGCATCTAAGAATACAAAGGATATTAGAGTTAAAAGATAAATGAGGGGAAAAAATCCACCTTGCCATCAAATACTCCTTCATTGGGAGGGTGAAAAATGAAGATGGGAGGAAAGAAATTTTTCTAGTGCCTAAGGGAGAGGGGAATGGGGGAATGAATGATATATAGATTCATCATTATCAACAATTTTGTAGGTTTATTACTTCCAAAATTAATATTTTACTAGTTAAGAGCTTTCCCAAATTGAAGAGGAATATAACTAGCATCTTCCTATATACTTTCTCATATCTCCCCTTGACCAGACCCCTCTTTCTTCTGGCCTATCAACAATTCATTTTTACCCAGTAAAATTCCATTTTACCCCTTTTCACTCGCTCCTATCTCTCATACCTCTCTCTTAACTGTTGAGATGTGCAATTAATCAAAACCACAGAACACAGAATTTCTACCAGCTGTTCTTTGTCATAGGAGTCGTAGGAAAATAAGACCAAAACAAAAGGCATGTTTATCAAGTGAAATAGATTAAAAGCTACAGGAACTTACGACATTAATCAAGGATGTTATGTTCCACAAAGCATAGAAACGGGCAAGACCTGAAGAACGCCTTGGCCCATGACTGAATAGAGCATTTATGCCAGCAGGGAAAGGAAGAAGAATGCCAAGAGGTAAAATAAACAAAACCAGAAAGACATGCACCAAAGATATCGAATACAACTGGAGGAATGTAAGCAACACTAAGCTAAAATCTCCTAAAAGTAACATTGATATGACTAAGCCAACAAGATCCTGCAATCAAAAACAAGGTGTTAAGTGAAAATTTTAGATCTGTAGATAATTTACACAAAAATTAATATAATCCTTAAATTCATGCAAGCTACCTGGTGACCAACTGGTTTAGTATTATGGACTATGAAAGAGAGAAGGTAAAACATATCTCTCTTCTCTTCAAGCATTTGTAAGCTGTTAGTATCTATAAGCCCTCTGTAACTCCTCTTCCGCCTTGCAAAACCTTCACTGCTTCGGTGACCTTGTTTTAAAAAGGCATCTTCTCTTCGATAACCAGATTGATTTTGCATGCGTGTGGTCTTCAGACTGAAGTAAATAGGAAAGTAACCAAGTTAAATTCCACATAATTAGGCATGATTTTGCAAGCATGTGGTCTTCACACTGAAGCAAAAAGGAATGTAACCAAGTTAAATTCCATATAATAGGCATCAAATGATTCCATCATATACATACACAAATATATGATATATAAAACCCAACAATTTGAATTTCTTTCCATCAGATGATACAAGCAAAATTAGTTTTTAACTTTAGTTCCTTGGGCTTCTGTCTAATACTCCCCACAGGTCATCCTATTCCTGTGCTGGAACGTATTTCTTTTATTGACCCAATACCTCTTCAAGATATGACAATGGGACTTTGGTACCAATCACATGGAACTAAATGTCCAAGTTCAGACAAATAATGGTGCACAACACACAAATATTACCAAGAAAGTTCAGTTCTGACTCCTCCATCAGTATTTCCCAAGGATATAGATTCATTTTCCTCTTCAATAGAATATACCAAAAGTCCATAATGGCGATAACCCCCAGATGCAGCCTGAATCCAGGCAAGATCAACGCGTACACCATGGATTCTCAAAGCAGGATTAGCATGCGTTTCAAGCCATTGAAGGAAAGGTCGAAATGTTACTCTCAGCCTTCCACGACAAACCAACCGTAATTGCGCATTCAAACCAGCCACCAGTCGATACCAAGTAGTTGAGGGCACCAGCTATAAGAGGTATAACAATAAACAGAACTTCATTTCAATTAAAATTTGGAAGATGAACCCATAATTTTGCCAAGTACATAGCTAAACTATGAGAACTAACCTGACTCATAAGACTGGTAAGAATGTTATCATTTTCAAGGGAAAATGGAGCCATATAACTTCCATCACCCCCAAAAATTATAGCCATAGGAAACTTTTGAGGTAGGCGAGGAGGAAGGTCTGTTCTCTTTTCATCACCACCGAGGAAGAAGTCCACATAAGCCAGCATTAAATCAGAAGTTGCAGATACCTAGAGTTAACAAATACCAGAATTTTAAGTTTGAAGCTACACCCAAGAATCATGCTTTAACAGCACATGTATGCATAAAGATTAAGGAAACGGTCAAACTAGTAAATATAGAATTAATGCATAAATCTCAAAAAGTTTAAACGGTAAGACTTGTTTTCATGTGTTCCTTTTGTTTTTGTAGCCTTTTTTACTCAAATGCAACGATATTGCCAGATATAGCACTAGCTCTACTGATGATGTACTTTGGGCTTAGGGGCAACCATTTCACCTCCAAAACAGTGGCATCCAGCTAACCATGTATTAAAGGAGCCATTGATTCTGTCCTTTACTTCTTTTTAATTTAGAAACAAAACCTAGTAATTTCTAGAAAATGTTGGTAAAACAAATTGAACACAAAAATTAAAAATCTCCAGAATTCATGAGAACTTTAGGATGGTACATAAGATTAGACAGGAAGAATAACTACTCTGCCTTTCTAAGTGATACACATCACAATGAGAACATAAAAATGTTTTAACAATCAAACAAGAAAGCGTTCAGAGCACAAAAGCCATCCATCTCAGTCCTTAGACATGTCTAATAGTTCGTTTTCAAAAGATAATGATGAGAAAGGAAGCAAAGATGGAGCTAAAACAACTACGAGATTGACCCAAGAAAAAACAACTACGAGTAGAATGAAGCCATAATAGTAAAAAAATTAAACCAAGAGTAGAAATAAATAGAAACCTTAAGCCCCTCATAGAGAGCCCGTGAACGGCAAGAACGTAAGCAAGCATGGTCATATTCCGATCGCACAAACTCACGTAACCGTTGCAATCTCAATCTTCGGCGCCATTGCTGCCACGACCAAGCAAGGGGATACACAAGAATAGAAAGAATGGTGCAAATTGCACCTTCCCACCACTGATAAGCAGCTATTGCATTAATCTCATCCACAAATGTATTATATGCACCCTCATATCTGCCAGGTCAAGGACATCAATGTGCAAAATAATGATTAAATATTAATAAAATCAATTGGCCAAAAATATACATTTATTAATAAAATCCAGTACGAAGCACAATCAAAGATTACATATTGCTGTATGAGAAGCAATTCAACAGAAAAATTAGCAATAAACTCACACAATCTCCTTTATTTCTTCTGGAGGAGTGTGGGGCAGATGCCAAGGTTCACTGAAAGTATTAGGTCCCATGAAATACATTCTGTGCACATGACTCTGTGACTCCTCAACTCTGTTTGTTTCCAATACCTGAAAGGGACAAAAAAGGCACAATTGAAGTCAGCCAGGGGGGACAATGGGCAAAAGAACAAGGGAATTGATAACCTAATATTGGGAAAATACATCATAAAGAATACAAATATCAGCATGGAAGGCCAGCCATCCTATCAAACAATTAAAAGAATCAACAAAGAAAAATTGTATACAACCTCATTTAATGACTCCAGGAATGGGAAAGAATGATCCATCTGAGAGCCATGCTGAGTGGGAGCTGGGCCAGGTAATTCATCAACCCCAACAAATTTCAGTCGCGCAACGCTAAGCACCAGTGCTAAGAGGATGAGGAGACCCATAAGTAGAAGACAAAATAACCAAGGTCCCCCAAATGTGTAAATTAACTCCTCAAGAGCTGTATAACAGTGCGGCAGGTGATATCTGTTTGAAATGCATTCGTAAGGACAACGGGTTTCAACAATACCACCTATGAAGAAAGGAGAAGGTTTTGAACATTAATTTAGCATTATGAAGAAAAAATTTGAAATTAAATTATGTTAAATAGGACATGAAATCAGGAAAAAAGAAAAAAAAACCTTCAGGACAAGAAAAAAATCCAAAAGCTACAGTATAAGAGCAGTATGCCATTTGCATCTCATATTAGATATAATCTCTTCAATACTAACAACATTCAAATGTACCTCGAACAGCAATATAAATGGCACGATGGGGAAGCTCTGAAGCAGGGCAAGGATGACAGAGAGAACTATCAGATCCACTAACATTCTTGTAAGTACCAACGGGACATTCCTGGAGAAACATAAATAGTTAACAAACTCAAAAAGCTGAAAGTATTAACCAATTCGTATCAGTTATAAAGGAAAAAGAAGAAGGATTTTTACATACTAGTAGAAAGAAATGAAAGATAGACTTGCTCCAATCAATTTGGGGAACAAATGGACAACATTATGTTAATTACACAACTATCAGAATAAAATAAACTTCCTCCAAAAAATTCATTCTTATTAAATTGGCCCATAAATTCATCCACAATTGGATTTGATAGAATTTTTCCCCCTTAAACTTAAAAGAGTAAGCATTTCAAAATAGAATTCAAGTTAATTTGGATATTGAAAAATTTTAAAGTTCCAAGTGCCTCAAATAAAAGTATAGCCTCACTGCAAAATTCCATGTTAAATGAAAAGAATATGAAATGCTTCATAATGCAACAGAATTGCCAATTTACCACACAAAATGTCCCATACAGCCCCTTTGGACAAGCTTTACCAGTCACAGTTCCATTTTCTCCACCACCACTCTCATCTCTTCCTAATCCTCCCCTGTAAAAGTAATCAAAACATCACCACAATACCAAGAGTATAAACTCCATAAACAAGCGTCTATGAAAAGTATTAAATCACAAGCATAAACTAAATGGCAAAGACACAATTTCTAGTTAAACGGAAAAGCAAAAAAAGAAGGCCATTTTGGCACACAGTGACTGTGCTGGTCGTAACCGTTGAATACATTTTATGTCAAGATATAGCTCCAGCCAGGTGCTTCAAAGCAATGACATGTATAAGGAGCAACTACTCATTAATGCAATCAAAGTGCCAGGAAAAATTCAAAAACTTAACAGCTTTGCCTTTGATTTGCAGCACCGAGATGAGATCTAAGCATTATAGTGTAACAATTTAAGTCTACCACCCAAATATAGTCCTGAAAGCAAATCTTATACAACATATTTGCAGTTTAAGGATTCAGTCTAGAACATTCTGAAATAATACAAAGCAAAGCATAACAATCACTTCATGAAATAATACAACTTGCTCCATAAATTGTATAACAGTTACTGCATATAAAACCAGTGCATTTCCAACATATCCATAAAAAATTCCACATAATAATATTAGGGACTGGACATTTCATGGTTAAAAATGAGCATGCTTCTGATTAATATCTATATTCATTAATGCCCTCAATCAAACAAAAAGGAAGAAAACAAGTAATAGGCATAGAATGTGACACATTCTAGGTTGAAAAGCTTGTTAGCAGTTATCATACAATATCATTTTATGGACATACACCACCTGGTGCATTGATTGTTCAATATTCATGGACCTAGAAATGTTATCAAATGTGTAGGACCATCAGTAACCTAGCATTCAGAAAAAGAAATTTCGTTGGAAACAAACCTAGCATAGATGCTTCCCTTAACACTAGCAATTGGCTGGTACACATCTCCAGTGGGAATGTCTGACCAATGAAAATGAATCCTTCCACCTCCTCCTCCAGCACCCCCTTTGTGACTACCATATCCTCCAACACTCGAAAGAATAGCAGACTCACCAAGAGTGAATGTGTGCAGAAACATAAGTACAGTACCACCAGAACCACCCCCAGGAGCTATGCTTGAATCATTAGAAACAGAATACTCTTGTTTCCTGACAGTTTCTTCAAAACTTTCTCCATCAGCCCTCACAGCACCCTCAACAGACAAGCTTGACAATGGATGCTTCATGGAACCCATCACTGTCAGACATAACATCTCATGAAAATTTAAGGAACAAACTTAAATAAAGCAGTAGCTATTCACTAAGGCTATATTTGGTAGGGAGGATCGAAAGGGGGAAGAATGGAATTTTTTAATTGAATGATTGAGATTCATAAAATGTACTATTTTGTAGCTCAACCATTAGATTAAGCCTTTTTCCTTCCTTCACCCTTTCTATCCTTCCTACCAAAGAGTGTGTAGGAGTCTAAGACAATACAATAACTCAAACATGGCCCCCCTTTTTCACACATAAAGGAATTAAACCTTTTTCAACGTTTCATAATGTAAATTATAAGCAAAAATACACATGATACTTCAATCCCAGGCCAAGATGAAAGAAGTCATGTTTCAGTAACCGCAAATCAACCAACCGATCGCACTAAAATTCTAGCTGCCCAGCATGATCAATAAAATTTCACCTAGTAACATAACCATTTCAGAGAAAACAGACAACAATGTATAAAATGAAACTCAAACAACCCTTGCTAAGACTTGCCCATCACAATCTTCAGAAATTAAAAAGAGCCATAAATATATGACATAAAAAAAGACCCAAAAGCCTTACCTATAACACCACCACCAGCAGTTGAATCAGCTGAGCTCTCGTTTCCACTTCCACTACCAAGTTCGCAGGGCAACTCTGAATTCCCATATGAAATACCACCCTCAACACAACTACCATTATAACATCCAAGCCCCCCTTTACCACCATGGCCACCGCCACTACCGATACCATTGTCTAAAAAATTTCCTCTACCCACACCACCTATGCATCCTGTATAAGAATAAAAACTTTTAACAAGTTTCAAAGCTCAGCTGTCTTTTCTTTACTTTTCTTCAAGACAAATACGAGATGATAAAAAGGTATATAAGACCATCTTTATGGTTGAGTTGATCAATGTGTATGCACACACTCGTGTGTAGATATATAGAGAGAGAGAGAGAGAGAGAAACTGAAGAAAATAGAACCTAAACGACAATGGAGAAACATACCCATCCCAGAAGCACTGATTATTCCAGAAGACTGCACAGATATCGTTCTTGCCCGATGGAAATGAACGACAGATCCCATAATAAGACCTTCAACAGTGATGTCCTCAACTCGGCATATCTAAAATTCAAACTAATGAAACAGTTAAATAAGCAGAAGCAAGCACATTTCTCAGTTTATTACTGCACAACTATATTGAATATACACCTGGAGCGTAAAAGACAGAGACGAATTCACATTGCAATCTTCAGGTGGATGAAGTAGTTCAATGGGGCAATCTTGGAGCTCACAATAAAGCTTTGGCGTACTGCCAAATGCAAAATGAAGAACAATGAGATATATAATAAGAAGGTACAAACCTTCAACACAAGGGTGATACAGCCAAAATTAAAACTTACACGGCATCAGATGATGCATTCTCTAGGGGACCACGTAAAACAGATCCAGGTCCAACCTTCATACAAAACAGACATAAGTAATTCATTAATCATACGGGACAACCAATACAAGTCTCCCATCATACGTTATATGAATCCCACAGCAAGGATTCATCACAACTCACAAATGGCATTCAAAATTATTTTTACCATAGATGTGGCCATGAGATGCAACTTTCTGTTTAACTGTTATGATGATTGAATCATTTGATAGTGGTGAAAGGAAGTCTAATCCGCCAGCATGTACATGAATATGGCAGCAAGTAATATCAACAAAAGAACTAAGAATTACATGAAATTTAGATTGTTTTATCCCCCAAGGAAAAGAGAAACAGTCCAACAGTCAAACTCACACTTCCATAAGAAAATTTTATACTGTGCTTAACATTATGAATCATGGTGAAACTATAAAGAAATTATTCTCCTTACTAAAACTGAAGACAAGATGATGGATCACCAATGAAAATGCAAGTTTAGAGAAAGCCGTAAACCTAACGAGTTACCAGCAGAGAACTAGAGAAGCATCCTTATCATCCAAAATAGTCACTCAGCCATTAAAAGTTAAACCAGTCATAGACATTAGCCTCCAAATCAAAATGTTCTCCGAAAACCTAATTTACCTTAATTTTTAACCATATAAAATCAGAAATTCACAAGCCAAAACATTTATAAACTTTGAACCGAAAACAACCAATCAATTATTACATACATGAATACTGTAAAATAGTGATAGGACCAGACGTTGAGCCTGAATTTTATCTCCAGGTCCAGATAAATTCAAAAAACCTTGTCCATGTACTCCCAGATTTGCGTTCGAATGTATGACTGATGATTCCTGGGTAAGAAGAAAGGGAGGCTGAAGTTGTCAAGAATGACTACATTATGAGAAACATACAACATAAATGGCAAAGGTGCAGTAGTTAAACACCTTGAGAACAACTAAATTACTAGCATCAAGCCATGAAGTTGCAACAGTTGCATCTTCACCACCATCTATTAGCATTTTGGAATTCCACATCAAGAATATTTTCACAGTCATGCGTAAAGCCCCATAGACCTGATGCGTTATAAAGTATCAGCAGCATATTATAAATAGGGCAGGAAGGAAAAAAAAAGAACAGAAAAGGTCAACTAAGGCAGAAATTGATAGAAAGCAGCTGAGACAGCTTCTACATAATACTCTCATTAGAAATCACCCAGCTGCTCCTATAAAGGATATTTCAGAACTTAAAAAGACATGTTAACAACATTAAAATGTGTCAGATGAAGTGGAAATACATGGCTAAAATAATAGAACATATAGATAGAAAGCAGCTGAGACAGCTTCTACATAATACCCATCACCCAGCTGCTCCTATAAAGGATATTTCAGAACTGAAAAAGACATGTTAACAACATTAAATTGTGTCAGATGAAGTGGAAATACATGGCTACAATAATAGAACATATAGATAAAACTTCAATTAAAATAAAAGCAGCTACTTCAGCCAGCAGCCGCGTGGTCTGCTGGTAAAGTGCTGGACTCTTAGTTTCAATAACCAAGGTTCAAATTTGGGCAGCCTCAAGTATTTAAAAAAAAAAAATTCAGCTACTTCAAGAAGGATATTCTTTTTTTTAAATTAGTTAACAACTTCACAATGTGACAATGATAAGACTTCAGAATATAACTAATAAAGCAAATATGGAGAATATTGCCTAACTTAATGATACCAAAAAGAATATGAGACTTCATCCTTCAAGAAAATGTGAAAATGTATCAGTCACCTTGATTATAGAATCACTCATTAACAGTTCTTCTGCCAATAATTCAAACTCTGAAGATGCATAATGTGCTAGCCCAAAGCTCAACATCCCTCCACATAGTAGACTTATCTGTCCTTGCACCTAAATAAGAAACAAACACTAGAATTAGATTCCTCATACCAAACCTAATTTTATCTCTTGAATTTTACAAGCATAATCATAAAATGTGCAATGCAGAAGGAGGTGCTAGAAGAGGATAGCAACTCCAAAACAAGGTAAAAAACCTTAAAGAAAGAACTTCAAATATTAAAGGTGTATGCTCAATTTACTTTTAGCCCAGATGGGTAAAAAAGCAAATAAAACCCGAAAACCCACTTTGAAGCATCCAAACCAATGAGAACTCCAAGAGTGTGCAGAGATATCAACATTTTTTAGTATCTTGTTAAAAAATAAAGTCTTAAAATTCTCAAACCTGGACACGACTCCAAAGCAACGGAACAGCAGCCCTGGCACAATTTCGAATATACACATTAGTCCAAAGTGGCTGATAAGGAAACTCTAGAAGAAGAGTATCTGTATTCGTTGACAAATCATGATTGTTAACGGTAAGACTCCGGGGCAAAGCATCATAAAGGGTTCCAGCAGCACCAGCATTCTCTTGGCAGCCACGACTAACTCCTCCTACAAGATAGTAATCAACTGATTAGCTAGCAGTTGTCATAAATGTATTAAGTGGGCGCCAAAAACAAACAATACACAAAATATTAAATGACAAAATCAGAAAGCTCTCAAAGGTAAAGTCGTTTCTGAAGCTTATCATCCAACAAAAAGGCACCCCTATAGTTCAAAATACTATAATCATCAAAAACTGCTCTAACCCACACTTAAAAGATCTAGCCAATCTTTTGCTCCTGGGTCATGTGAAAATTACCCCTTCTTTTAGCAACTAGATAGTAATTTATTTGTAAAAATATTATATAAAAAGAACGCTTTAATTTCTTAATCTTAATAAATATTGAGCTTCTTCCTATGATCCATCATAATGAAAAATGGCCAAAAACAGAAGAGGCTTACCATGCACAAAAATTTTTGGTTCATCGTGCCTGCTGAAAACATCAATTGAAACTCTTCCACCACCCCCACCACCAAAACCATTACCTCCACAAGCACTTATTCTGCCGTTTCCAGTCCTGCTCTTCACAGAATAACAGATACTTTGGCATTAAAACCCATGCCCATACCCAGGTAACATAATGATATTTAGCCCATAGTTATAAATCTAAGAGAGTCAGGTAATTCAAATGAAAGACAAAGAAAATTATTTCCAGAATTGCAGCAACAGAAAGCATAAGAACAGGCCAGTACTAGGCATTCATAAGATAACATCAGCTACCTTCACCTTGCACTTAGAAAAAAAAATTAGCTAAAATATGCCAGGCATAGCCTAAATGGAGCACAAATGGTAACTAGACCTAATCCCATTCCTACACCCAGACATTCCACATCAGATATCCCAGGTATATACTTATGTGGCCTAATAATTACATAAAAAAAAAAGCTAACTACTAATGGATAAAGCTTCAAGTTCTCCACATTAACATAATTGAAGGTTTATTTTACAAATCCACCAGTATTCATATCCAAAGTCATTAGATGTTTGCAAAGAATAGCATGTAGCATGTCCAGTGAAGTAAAACTTTGTTCAAAAACAAATAATAGTAGACTTTAGGGTGTGTTTCATCAATATCCTGCACTTTAGTTAGTAAGCATGATAAGAGAAATAATAGAGCTTTAAGAGGTTTCATCAACTGAGATCAATTGAACGTAACAACAGACAATGTCATTACCAGCCTAATTGAACTTTCATCACTACTATTTGATAGTCTTATACTTAGAACATCTCTTATTCACCCCCTATTCTAAACTCTTCTACTCTCCCCTACAACTAAGAATCTAACTCAAAGAAAATGTAATGCTTTCAACAAGTAAATAACTTTTTAGAATCAACAATGTTTTACTCTTAAAATCATCCTAAACAGGGTCACGTAAACAGCCACTTAAGTATCAAATGTTCCGCTACTTGCCATCATTTCTTCTCTTTATTCCCTACATTTCTGTTTTTCACTAACTAAACAAACAAAACAAGATAACCATCCAACTTTGGAAACTAAATAAGCCAAAACAACACTAAAAGAACTCTAAGAGACAAAATAGACAAGAGAGATACATTACGTTTTATGAGCTTTAATATAGATGCTACCACCTGATCCACCACCTCCTTTACTCCCTCCATCACCCCCATCAGCCAACAAGCTCCCATTCACCTCCAACAACCCTTTAATCTGCAATTTCACCCGGCCACCACCTCCCCCTCCGTAGTCCACCTCCTTACTCGTTGTCCCTCCCTTACTCCCATAACTACATGGATCCTGCAATGATGACCATGAATAAGCATCTCCGCCCCAGACATCCTCCGGCAGCTTCCCATCCTCCACCAAGCAACACGCGCCGCGGCCCCCATGACCTCCGCCCGCTCCCTCCACTCCCTGAGGTGTCCCACTCGTCTGTGGTGGTGGGTCCCCCGCCCATCCCGTCGTGTTCACGGCCGAGCCATTGAAAAAACTAGCGTTATAAGCCGTGAGCTCAAAAGTACCAGTAACTATAGTAGAATTTTCGCCTAAGGAAAAGTTTCCGCTGATGTTTAGGGTTACGTAACAGCCCAAAGAGGGGCAATGGAATCTAACTCCGGGAAGGATATAGAAATTACCCTTTCCCTCTATGTACACGTCACGAGTAAGATTCAAATCGGCCACAATCTTACACGTAGAATCCAGAGAACCTATCCCGCCGAGATCGTCAGTGCAAGATACCGACGGGGCATGAGGAGGCGGCGGAGGAGGAGCCGGAGGAGAGTAGTCTTGATGGAACAAAAGAGCTTCCGAATCCGAATCGATTATCGAAAAATCCGATTCGAGGGTCGAAGATGAAAGAGATATAATGGTGGTATAGAAGAGGAAGGTGAATAAATGGAGAAAGCGAGGGTGATATCGAGCCATTCACTGCTAATGAAAGTCATTAGAATCGAGGGTTAATATTCCGTTTGGGAGTAAATTTCTTGATAAGAAAACATACAGGAACAACAACAACAACCGTCGAAACCACCATGAAAAAACAAGTTTCACAATTATTTTGTATAAATTTTCTTTGTATCCAAAACTTTCTGAAATTAAAAAAAAAATGAAAACCCTAGAAATTGGTTTTCTCTCTGACTCACTGCAAACCAAAAAATAAAAGTTTGTGGAGAGAGAGAAAGTGCTCTTTTCACAGACACGAAGAAGAAGGAAAGAGCGGTAGTAAAAGACGAGAGAGAAAGAGAGCGCTTTATCGGGGTGAAGAAGATGAGCAAAAGATAAAGAATGATAAAGCTTACTTGAGCTTGGCTTTCCTTCCAAATCTTGATTGGTTAGGGTGGTTTTTTTCAGTTTTGAAACCAGTCAAACGTGGATGTATAATCGGGCTTGGGTAAGATTGAATGTTGTAGATTTTTATGGAGCTTTTGTTCAAGGGGGTTATTTAAAACGACGGCGCAGCATTTGTCTAAGTCTTGAGCTTAATAAAAGTAGCCCAACCTTAATTAATGTGAGGGAGTGACGTTTACGCTCGGGGGAATATAGATTGTGAATCCAGTGAAACGCAAGTCACTTGGAGCGCAAAAACCCATCGTGGGAAAAGCGCAGCATCAGGATTTGATTGAATTACGCGCATGGTATCTTTAGCTTGGTGTGTGTGATTGGACGGTTACTGTGAACTTTTCGAAGCTGTGATTTAACAGAGGCTTGTGGAAGGTTCGGGTTCTGTGACGAAGCAGTTTTCTTGGCAAGAAGGGTAAGACACGTGTAGTAAATTCAAGCCAGGTGAAAAAGCTCTACTCCAAGCTAGCTGCTTGCTCAAGAAGACAAGTCTTCTTCTTCGGGTATTTGACACCGCATTATGAATCTACCCAGAACGTTCCACTAACGTTAACGGATTTTTTTTTATTTCGTTTTTAAATTTAATAAATAATTAGGGATAATATTTTAAAATATTTTTAAATAAATAAATAAATTATAAATATAATAATTTTTGTTTATATTTCATTCATTTAATATTGAATGATGTAAATGAATAAAAATTTGGATAAACAAATTTTTATTATATTTATTTAAATTTACTTATTAAATTTAATTAATAATTATAAATAATATTTTAAAATTAATTAATTAACCAACAAATCATAAATATATTAAAATTCGTTTATTTTTAATTCATTTACATTTGAATTAAAAAAATTAGAAATTTAGTTTTTATCATTCGTTGAAAGTGGTACCACAGTAGTACCACTTTTGGAAGTTATTTTCTATTAACTATTGCAAGAGACAGGAAAAAAAAAGACTAACAAGTTTTGTGGAATCATAGAGTTTGATAGTTAATTTGGAAGAAGAAGCTCCAAAGTTGAGACAAAAAAGAAAGACCAAAACAAATATTCATTCTTTATTTTCTTTTCAAGACCGAAAAATCTTGACATTTTATAGATATTTTTTCTTCTAAATTTGCCAGAGTCTGATAGTTACCACGAATATTCAATATTTATGCTTACTTCTGGCAGAATTGAAAGGCAATATACAAGTGGGTATAATAACCAGTCTTCAAGTTCACTTGCAAAAGGAGATGTAAGAACATGGAAATAAGTACTAGAACTTCTTTCACCAAAGGATGATGGAATAGACATTTCCAGGCTAAGGTTACTAGTTTCAGGATGTATAAAATGCCCACTTGAAGACTTTAAGACAATTACCATGTTCAGTTCAAATTTTGTAAGAGTGAATCTACAGTTTTTCTTTTCTTTTGCTTTTGCCAGCCTCTTCGAGATGGTGGCTCCTTTCCCCGGCAACTCATCTATCATAGTTTTGGAGAATGCAAGTTACTTGTATTCTAAGGCTCTAACACCAAAAACAGCCAACATTAGAGCTATCTCATACGGTAATCGAAACTACAAATCCAAATAATGACTTAAATTTCTGCATGTTTCTTTATCCCTCAAATTGGTCATTGCTTTCATCTCTATCCTTCTTATCCACTCTTTGCTCACATGAAAAAGCCTCCCAATCTCCTCTAGAGACTTTAGAGGGGAGCCCTTGAGCCCATAACGTAGACCCATAACTTGCCTCTCTCTTGTTTCCAAACCATTCAAAAGATCATGACTATCTTCCTTCATCTGCTGCCTCATCACAGTTTTTTCTGGGCTTTGTATGGACAAATCTGGGATAAATTTCTGCATCATCATAGCCACATGTGTTGTTGTCAATCAAGGAATCTTAATTGACACCATATCAAGCTTGTATCACTAAATAAGAATGCACGAGCAGATTCTGAGAAGCAATAAAATGGAAAGTATTCCAAACACTATCATCCGAGGGTTTGAGACAATGCAGGGGAGAGGAAAACAAACATGTTCTTGTCCCACATCATTTACTTTCTAGAATATATCCATCACACGTGCATAATAGCTTTAACAATATAAACACAACTTTTCATAGTATTTGTTAACATTAGTTTTTTGTGAGTCAAACTTTGATCTTGGGAGATCAAAGACGGCATCCCTTTTATCCATAAAACTGATCGAATACTTCAATGTCTTATCCTTGAGAACCAAAACAACAAATCTATGTACAATTTCTGAGTTCTTGGAATAAAGGAGAGAAATAGATGAAAGTGAACAGAAAGAAGTAATGACATACCAAATATTTTGCATGGATACAATCTCCAATTTTCTGGTCAATTGAACCCACAACCCTGAAGCATTTATTAGCTGATCTCATTTTAGTCAAAGAAAGGCCAGTGAACTTGGCAATTTCATCCTCTTCAGAGTATTTCCCATGGCTTTTGTCAAGGGCCTTTCGAGCTTTCTGTATCTGAACTATTGCCCTGCTTAACGTACACTACAAAAAATGAAGAACAGGAGAATAACACTTTAGTCATGCTCCAGCCCTCATTAGCATCTATATATGTGAAGAAATAATCTACTAGAGAAGAAAGCTACATACAGGAACTTGAATCCCTCTAGCATGCCGTGTCACCATCCTTGGAATTGATTTCCTTATCCAGTACTGTATATAGGTAGAAAATTAGCATCCCCTTGTGTGGTCAAACCTTTCTGCACCTTGTAGGACTCCTAAACTTCCCGCCTGTCAAAAACAACAAAATAAACTTGAATATGCGGTTAGGTAGGAAACTAAAGGAAATAGATAGCACAGAAAAGAAAATATGTCCTGCTAAATCATGGCATGATTTCTTGAAATCTCGCTGTTCTGGAACTTTATGATTTGTACAAAAATTCAAAAAAGAAAATGGAATATTTGATTATGTTCATGACCCCGCAAAAGGAGGGTTTTATGGTAAGATCAATAAAACAGATAGGTGCAAGGAACAACAAACCCGTAAGAATTCCATTCATGTTTTTCATTTCTGAAGTATAAAAGTAAAGATAACAGGAAACATGATTGACATATTTGCAAATACATTTACCCATTAGGTTTATTTCAAATCAAATATGCCATAAATTATGTTGAAATTTGCTTTTTATGAATGCTAAATTACAATCATTTTCTTTCTATATTTGCATTTGCTTTCTGCTTTTTGATTATGCTAATTCATGACTATTTCTCAATTTTAATTAAAAGAGAGAACGTATCAATGGTATGTCATTTTAATTGGAAAACTGCATCACAAGGATATTATATTGTTATTTAGACATACTTTACTAATCTATTAGAACTGTAGTGTTCAAGAACTGAACATAATACTCCCCACAAGAAAGTTCACCATAATTATTAACAATGTTGATTAGATCTTGAAACATCAGAGTCGTTAACATAGACAAGGAAAAAGCTAGGCAACCACATTGTTATTCAGGCAAGATCTGCTCAGGAAATTACTTATATAAACAGAACAACTTGATTGGAAGAGAAAGTAAAACAAGTACATTACATAAAAAGCCAAACATATTTAAAAATTCTGACTAAGCTGCATTAAATCTTCATGGGCTATTCCCAAACCCCTGTAGTTCCTTGCAAAGTAGAGGACAAAGGAGCATGTGCTCCTTAGTAGCTCATCTCTGCAGTACCAACCAAAACGCAAATTCTGTTGCAGCACTTTCTCATTAACTCTGGCTGCTTCTGCCCAAGCAACTCAAGCTCACAACTCTCCCCACTTCCTCTTCCAAAGTTGCTCTAATCCTCTCCAAGTTTGCAACCACCTGCTTGGGAAAGCATAGAGCGGTCAAAGATTGCCTTAAGATGTGTGTGACAAAAGAATATGCATTCCGTATACTAAACTTTTAAGACAACCTTAACTCCCTTTGACATTTCTGCTTCATTTCTAGCAATTATCAATCTTCTCCTTCTCGAGTCTGAGATTCTTTTTGCTGAAGAAACTTTGGGCTTTTGAAAGTGTCCATGACAGATGTTCGAAGGCAGCAATTGTGTAGAAATAGTGGGGTTTTCTACTGCCCTTTCTCTTCTCTTTTGTCTTTGCTTCTTTTTACTAGAGCAAACAATAACTTTATCCTTTTGACTATCCACCAAGCCATTCATATTACACTCTACACTATCAGCAGGAACATCAGATAGGTCTAAAATATTCGAAGCTTCATGAGTCCTAGACAAACAGATATTGAATAGTTTTAGAGCTCCAAGCCTTCCTAGTTGTAGTAGAATTTCCCTCTTCAATGTTAATACATCTGAATCAACAAATGTCTCCTCTAAAGCGTCAAGATTTTCCATTAGCAAACTATAACGTGATGCCTTGCATGCCAGTGGGCTGTGCATGAGGAAGAGTTATTTCCTCCAACTGGTTCATGAGTTTTACCAACAATAGTATGCGAACAACTGTGTGACTGTGATCCCTTGGCAATGTTTGCCTGGAAGAAAAAGATCCAAAATAGTACAAGATACTTTACAATAGAGGGTTAGAGACTTATGAAATGTACAATTAAGTGTTATGCAGCTTAGTAGCAATAATTTGATATAACCACACACCTTCGTTTCCTCAATTTCTAAGCAACCATTTTCTAATGTTTGCAGAGCTTAGGATGAAGTGAATGCTTTCAGAGGATCGTTCAATAAAAATACGCCTTCATCAGAAAGTACAGACTGGAAAAACAGCCTAGCTGAGTTAAAAGAAGCCTCCCTTCCTCTAACTGTGTTAAAGTAAAATCAATATAAGTGAAAAAACCCAAAAAAAAATGACAACAAACCAAAGACAGGCCACTTAAATATAAGATAAGACCACGGTTTGAATTAGGGAAAAAGAAATCAATTGCATGGACTGCATAGTAAAAGCAACGATCTTGAATGGCTTGTAATTTAACAGAAAATAACCAACTTTTATGTTTGAAATTAATTTTAGGACAAGTCATCATATTGGCACTCCTATATGGATGATAACCTCTATCTTAGCTTCAATTGACATTCAAATAATGCTGCAATACAAATTCAACTAGGAAGTTAACTGATACATTTACTATCATCTCAATCTAACCAATGCCAGGATTTCTAATAACTTATTTTAACTTTCTTTTATGGTAGTGCAAGAAGGAAAGGTGGATTTGAAATCCATTGTACTCACCAGACGAAGGGAGCCTGGAAGGTGAATTGGCAAGAAAATGAGAGGGAACTGGGAAAACACCCTTGCCATTCAGCCTGAAACCGATTGGACCCCAGATAGCAGAGACAAACTAACCTTTAAATCATCATGAAGTTGCCAGAGT